CTCCGGCGATGGACATGCGTAGATGACGAAAGCTCGCTCTGTTTTCATACGAGACGCTTTCGACATGTGAGATATTATTCCAAAAGCACGTCTATGGGGAAATGTGTTTTATTTTAACCCACAAATTGATTTATTACAATCGAAATTGATTTAATCAACTTATTTAGGATTAATGTTGAGATGAAATTTTATTTTTTAATTAAATGGAATAATCCTTTTCCTAGAAATTCTCCGAAACGGAACAAATCTGCAGTAAAGGAGATAATTGCGATGTCGTGTTTTGGGAGGTATTCGAGCATATCCCCATCAAAACATCAACGATTAAACGAGGTGGTTGATTCCACCATCTCGTTACTTAACCATTACATTTGCACCATCTTCCCGGATTGAAATGCACCCAAAAAACTTTGTGTCGCTATATCTTGTCTTTTGTCAGCGATATTTAGTATTCTGATAGTTTTAGATAGTACTTTATTAGCAGAATCTAGACTTTTGCCAGCAGAGTATTTTCTTCTACAGGTGATTCAAAAAACCGCTGACAGACTTTTAGAGTAGATAATACATGAAAAATTCCTGGAAGCCGTAATTATTGAAATTAAGGAATGAGACTTGTTCTAAATTAAAGCTCAAAGCTTTCTCTTTAAAATGATGTATAATAATTGTTGGGTTGGATTGGAAAAATATTGAGAAAAAAAATGTTGAAATAAAACTTACATTTTCGTATAACCTAAAAGTGTCAAAAAAGATGCTAATTTAAAAATTCCTGGAAGCCGTATTTATTGAAATTAAGGAATGAGACTTATTCTAAATTAAAGCTCAAAGCTTTCTCTTTAAAATGATGTATAATAATTGTTGGGTTGGATTGGAAAAATATTGAGAAAAAAAATGTTGAAACAAAACTTACATTTTCGTATAACCTAAAAGTGTCAAAAAAGATGCTAATTTAAAAATTCCTGGAAGCCGTATTTATTGAAATTAAGGAATGAGACTTATTCTAAATTAAAGCTCAAAGCTTTCTCTTTAAAATGATGTATAATAATTGTTGGGTTGGATTGGAAAAATATTGAGAAAAAAAATGTTGAAACAAAACTTACATTTTCGTATAACCTAAAAGTGTCAAAAAAGATGCTAATTTAAAAATTCCTGGAAGCCGTATTTATTGAAATTAAGGAATGAGACTTATTCTAAATTAAAGCTCAAAGCTTTCTCTTTAAAATGATGTATAATAATTGTTGGGTTGGATTGGAAAAATATTGAGAAAAAAAATGTTGAAACAAAACTTACATTTTCGTATAACCTAAAAGTGTCAAAAAAGATGCTAATTTAAAAATTCCTGGAAGCCGTATTTATTGAAATTAAGGAATGAGACTTATTCTAAATTAAAGCTCAAAGCTTTCTCTTTAAAATGATGTATAATAATTGTTGGGTTGGATTGGAAAAATATTGAGAAAAAAAATGTTGAAACAAAACTTACATTTTCGTATAACCTAAAAGTGTCAAAAAAGATGCTAATTTAAAAATTCCTGGAAGCCGTATTTATTGAAATTAAGGAATGAGACTTATTCTAAATTAAAGCTCAAAGCTTTCTCTTTAAAATGATGTATAATAATTGTTGGGTTGGATTGGAAAAATATTGAGAAAAAAAATGTTGAAACAAAACTTACATTTTCGTATAACCTAAAAGTGTCAAAAAAGATGCTAATTTAAAAATTCCTGGAAGCCGTATTTATTGAAATTAAGGAATGAGACTTATTCTAAATTAAAGCTCAAAGCTTTCTCTTTAAAATGATGTATAATAATTGTTGGGTTGGATTGGAAAAATATTGAGAAAAAAAATGTTGAAACAAAACTTACATTTTCGTATAACCTAAAAGTGTCAAAAAAGATGCTAATTTAAAAATTCCTGGAAGCCGTATTTATTGAAATTAAGGAATGAGACTTATTCTAAATTAAAGCTCAAAGCTTTCTCTTTAAAATGATGTATAATAATTGTTGGGTTGGATTGGAAAAATATTGAGAAAAAAAATGTTGAAACAAAACTTACATTTTCGTATAACCTAAAAGTGTCAAAAAAGATGCTAATTTAAAAATTCCTGGAAGCCGTATTTATTGAAATTAAGGAATGAGACTTATTCTAAATTAAAGCTCAAAGCTTTCTCTTTAAAATGATGTATAATAATTGTTGGGTTGGATTGGAAAAATATTGAGAAAAAAAATGTTGAAACAAAACTTACATTTTCGTATAACCTAAAAGTGTCAAAAAAGATGCTAATTTAAAAATTCCTGGAAGCCGTATTTATTGAAATTAAGGAATGAGACTTGTTCTAAATTAAAGCTCAAAGCTTTCTCTTTAAAATGATGTATAATAATTGTTGGGTTGGATTGGAAAAATATTCAGAAAAGAAAATTTGAAACAAAACTTACATTTTCGTATAACCTAAAAGTGTCAAAAAAGATGCTAATTTAAAAATTCCTGGATGCCGTAATTATTAAAATTAAGGAATAAGACTTGTTCTAAATTAAAGCTCAAAGCTTTCTCTTTAAAATGATGTATAATAATTGTTGGGTTGGATTGGAAAAATATTCAGAAAAAAATGTTGAAACAAAACTTGCATTTTCGTATAATCTAAAAGTGTCAAAAACGATGCTATTTTAAAAATTCCTGGAAGCCGTATTTATTGAAATTAAGGAATGAGACTTGTTCTAAATTAAAGCTCAAAGCTTTCTCTTTAAAATGATGTACAATAATTGTTGGGTTGGATTCGAAAAATATTGAGAAAAAAAATGTTGAAACAAAACTTACATTTTCGTATAACCTAAAAGTGCCTACCTAGGCTTTACCGTACCTTCGCTCCCTGCCTACAGTAAGTTGTCTTTTACTAACAGCATCTTGTCTTCTGCCAGCAATATTTAGCAGTGTCTAATCATGAAGCAGCACTATCTAGCATTTTATAAGAAGGATCTAATTTCTGCCAATAGAATCACCAACACATGTCCATTTAACCTCCAGCAACACTTCTTGATCTTCTTAATTCTACCAACCTAATCTGAGTGGTATCCAAAATCGAATCCTTTTTCGTACCGGGTCATCAACGATTTTTCCCATCTTATCCGAGCAATTTGATTCCCTCAGGTAGATCTAGCATATCCTAAATAAAGTCAAAAAAGAAATCTTAGATTAATTTATCGTTTTTAAGATTTGTAATTAAGATGGATTTCAATATAATTTCGCAACCCCCCTTTATTTCCCTAAGTTTCTTTGTGAGCTGTTTGCCTTTCTAATTACGAATTCGAGAGTCGCGCTAATTAAACGAGAACGGAGAACTTTAATTGCGTATTAATTTGTCTTTATGACAGACGACAAGAACAATTGACGCGGAAAGCTCGTTTTCAAATAAATGCACCCTGAGAAGCGAAGATACTTCTTGGAAATATAACTAAAAAATAAAGGAATAAAATGATTAGGTTGTAAAGTATCAAAAGAGTTTTCAAGAAACCATCTCTTGTACAAGAACGTGTATAAACGAGTCGTGTAAATTCCTGTATACGGTCGACCCGAAGTTGAGGTTGGACCGTTTTACTTGTGCTTTCGCCGTAACACGGTTGTTAACCGTTTATTTTGCATATTTCCCCCGGGAACACTGCGTGCCTTCCCACTGTTGTTTCTAGGAACCTTTCGTGTTTCACCAAAATGATACATCGCATAGATAATGTCGAAAATCTCTGTTATGTCTTAATCAGGGGCTTTTTGTTTTCATTTTGATTCCAATTTAATCGAAATTTATGTACATACAAGATTAATTCTGTATCAAGATGTTTTTTTAGGTCCTAAATAGCAATTTCTTTTCTCGACTTAATAAATTTAGGTTTACACCTTTCCCATCAAGAAATCCCATCCCCATTTCCGGTTAAATCCACTTCGTAGAATCGTGATTGATGGTCTTGATATCAACAAGTGTTCCATGTCGGAGTCTTTGGAACATGCTGCGAAGTGTTTACGTCACCTTTGATTGAATAGTTATTAATTGTTATCTAACATAAAAAGAATCACGTTTTAACTTAATTTTTTGAATTGAAATGGGTTGCGTAACGCAAATGAATCGACCATCCAATAAATCCATCGCAAATAAACAACAATGAACGCGATCGAAACGCAAAACCGAGCGAATTTGACTTTACAGTGTTAATTTTTTTCTGTTTTCGGGTCCACTCGTTACCCATCTATCATTTTCGACAAGAACCAACAGGTTGGAAAGGGTAATTACAGTGGTCGCGTCGAGTTCGACTATTTGCGAAACATTTCAATTAGTAAAATAGAAGCGTGTCAATATTGGTTTTGTTGTTCCGCCCTGAATGAGGAACTTTGAGAATGGATATTGATCAAAAAAGTTATTCATATATAATAAGTATAATAACTATCATTAGTAAATTAATTAATTCGTAACGTTAATTGATTTAGATCAAACGATACGTTAATTGAAACGGTATTTGTGGCAATAATCACGCTTCGGTGTCTCCGATGAATGATTTAATTGTCAAAAAAAACATTTTTCTACAATACTATAATAATGGTAATCAATTACAATCAATATTTATAGTCAATTAGTTCAATTTCATTAATTTAACCAACATTTTAATTCTTAATTTCCAAATTTTAGATAAATCCTAACCTAAAAAAAATGTTTAATTAAATTAAAGTAAAAAAAAATGTAATTACTTAATTTTTTCATTATTAGGTTTATTCCCCACATCGAATTAATTAAATAAATTATTTCATTAAAAGAAATAATTAATTTTCTTAACCCCAAAACTATGTTAAGTTAGGTTATGTTTAGACACAGTGTTTAGATGTTTAGAAATGACGTCACATCTACCATTCAATTGAACCAATTACATTTTTAATCCAATATTAAGAAACAAAAAGATTTATTTAATTTCTTTTTAAAGTTTGAAGCAACTTTAAGTATATTTCAATAATAACATGCAATTATTAATAAAAATTGAGAATTATTTATTTAAGTGATGCGCAATTAGCTGAGATGAGCCTCGTTGCCATGGTGACGAAGCGAATCCAATACAAACAAACAAAGCGTTATCGAGAAAAACATTAATTTTGAAATTAAGATTAATTAATAACATTTTATTCATAAAGTAAAGACAACAAAACTGTTTGTTGCATAAATTTGTTAATATCAATATTCATTTCAGGTGAGTAAACATCATTTAACGCTTTGGGCTTTAGTTTGATTTATAACTTTTGACATAACCTCAAACAGGATAAAGTTGATTTAGGGGCTCAATTAATAATCAAATAAATTATAAATAATGTTTATAGAGAAAGCTGTTGAAACACACTATGAGGAGAGGAATTAAAATAAATATGGGGTGAAGAATATCGAATGAGACATGTTAGGAAGATCCAATTTAGCTGCGATAACAAAATTATTGGAATCGAATTAAGCTGGAAATATGACGAGGTACGCTTTTCATGACTGGGTGTTAAAATTCCTTTTTTTATCAAAATCATTTCGATTTTGACACCTTCATCTTAAAATTATGGATTTAGACGATCTTATCACCATGTAAGTGGCGAAATAATCATGTTATTGTGATGAAATTTTACTCAACACTCGATGACGTTTGATTTCTGATTTTAGATTTATTTTCATGGTCTATTTCTGCATCATGCTGCAAGGTTGAGAGTGTAATAACTGTTTTCTTGTGTTTAGGGGTTTTCTTTGTTGCGAAAAACTAGCAACTTCTTAACTCTCCATCACTGTTCCCTTCTAATTAACAAGGATCATGTGGAACATGTTAAAAAATAGAAATTTGATATGAATTGAAATAATTTTTTAAAGTGAGGTTATGTCTGTTTTGTAAATGTCAAAATTTGGGTAAACATAACCTATAATAATGAAGATTTATTTTAATGGTTTAAATCTAAAGTTATAACAGATATTTTTTCTTATCATCTTCAATTCTAACATTCCCACATAAAATAATAATCAATATAACATGTACTAATAGCTCTTCTGGAGTATTCGTATCAAAAGGTATTCGAGATATCTTTGTTTTCTTTAAGCCCATGGAATATATTTCGCAATATTTAAAGTATTTATCATACCAAAGATAATAAACCTGGAAAATGAGAAATTATTTATTTACTACACCAAATTGGGAATTTTTGATTGAAATTCCTGTTATATAGAAATATTTTTATCAAACCTGATTTAATAATTCCTAAAATATAAATTAATTTTACGAATTGTTATGTTAAAACAACACTTTATTCAAACAATGACTCATTTATGCATAAGTTTATATTAATATTTAAGGACAGATCTAATTAATTTGTTAAAAGTGAGGTTATGTTTTGTTGTAACGTCAAATCACAATTTTAACAAACATAACCTCAATAAATCTCAAGCTAATTAATGAATATGCAAAGAATTTGGTGTTTTATTACTTTTTGTAACTCATTCGCGAATATTTATGCACATTTAATAATAAATATTAAGGTTTTCTATAAATCTCTTAATTTTAATGTTAATTCCAAAACATCAATTAAATACAATTAATCGACACTATCTACTGACTAAATCTATCTAGAGAAAAACCCATGATAAATAATTAACTGTAAATACATTAATAAACCGATGACAACTTTTACAATCTTATCTCCAGGTTGTAGATAACGTTTATCTTGATGTATTTAATGGTGATACTGAGTTTATGCTGCAGTAATAAACTGAGCTTTCGCTATTTTCATTGTAAAAATGATTAAGTTACAATATTTGGTTGTTTTGGTGGTACTGGTGCAAATTATTTCATCGCTCCAAGTTCATTCAAGCCCGATTGATGAAGACGAACAAGAACCAATATGTTTTTGCCCAAGAATCTACCGACCACTTTGCGCTTCCGATGGTAAAACTTACGCGAATAAATGCGAGTTTGATTGTGTGAAGAAATTACCCCGATTCGCTGATTTGAGGATAATCAAAGAAGGAAGATGTGACGATGACGAAAATCTACTCTAATTAATACGATAAACTACGTGAAGTGGTTTGTTTTTGTAATGCAATCAATAATAAGATTATTTTGTCAATCAATTTAATTTAAAAAACAATTGTTTTTATCTAAAAATTATTATCTTAAATCTGCTTTGTTAATAAACATTATAATTTATTTTTTTCTCCTTAATTAACATCTTTTCAATCAACCCAGTTCGTTCCCTCAACAATTTTTTATGTTCTTCCCCCACAACGTTATTATCCAAATTTTTTAACAAAAAGTGATGTATAAACAATCTTAACGATTCCTTAAACATCTTCAATTTCTCCGATTGCGAAACTTTCTCAAATACTCGAACACAAGCATCAACATCATCGTGCAAAAAAATCCCCAATAAAACTTGTCGTAGAAATCTCAAAGTGGTTTTATCTAATTCGCAAAATTCCACGATCTAAAACAAATTGTAATTTAATCATAAAACAAGATTGATTTAATTTTACCTTTAGCGTTGAAATGGGGATCCCCTTTTCTAAAAATAAATGAGTCAACATTTTCGCTAAATTCGATAATTGACTCGCGGAGCATTCCTCTAAAGCTTTTAATTTATCCCAAACCGAAAATTTAATCGTCATTTGAAATTTCCGGTCGTAATCGCAAAATTTTTGTGCCAAAACGGCGTAATAGGGGTTAAAATCTTTTTCTTGTAGGCAACAATGTAGAATGACGTGAATGATTTCGCGTTCTTGTTGGTTTTTTAAGCCGAGTTTTAGTAACTTTTCGAAGGCTTCTAAATAATCTTCGGCTGACATAATAATACAAAAGATGTTTTTTCTCGCATCTGTATTCATGTGGTGTTTTCGGGCGAGAGTGAGTAATTTTTGGGAAAAAACTTGTAATTGATTCGTTGGTTTTGTGTCTTTGTTGGTGTCGATATTTCCGGTCCAAGCCGATCCTACAATCCACCATTTCCCCCGAGTTTCCGCCTTTAATAAATCGTCCAAAGAAATTTTTAATTGTGTGATATAATTTCCTTTTCTAATAAATCCTTTTAAAATTTTTTTTAGGTGTTCTGAGTAAGTTGAGTCGTAGTTTGGGATTTTTGAAACGTTGTTGTTTTTGATTGCTAGGAGGATATCTAGCATAAATTTTATTCGTGGGCTAAAAATTAATTAAGTTGTTTATTTATTATTAATTAATAGGGCACGGAACTTTTGTAACAAAACGATACGATTTCGCCCCTCGATTTTCTCAAAAAAAATATATAAAAATTTTTTTGAGATTATGTTCTTAATTATTGATCAAATCAAAAATTTTTATTAATAATATTTGTTTAGAATTACTTCAGGAACAGTGTTTGTTAATAACATTTTTTGCTAACTTGAAATTTTAATTTCCCTCTGAATAGTATGCTATC